GAGAGGAATGGCTTGCACGTGGTCACGCAGAGTTTTCAGCAGGACCTGAGAGGAAAGTAAAACAGTGCCAGTTTTGATGGCTACCCAAAATGTTTCCCCCATAGACTAGAGTTTCACTTCCAGGCTGAGTCCATTCCTTCAAACCTGTCTGTCCTGTGCAGCACTGACCTCAGCCTTCTACCCACCGAAATGTCCTCCAGTCTCAGGTGATCTCAGCACCGACTTTGCCATCCACCACTTACTGCCTAGAACATCTAAGACACATGCTTCAGTAACTAACAAGCTATTAAATTGGTGGGGAGGGGGGAAGAAAAGAAAAGAAGTGTTGGTGAATAATAATAGCCTTTGTCATCACAGCCTAATTTTTGTGGTTCTTATTTAGCATTTCCACGAGGAGCTTGCCCTCCAGATGGTGGTCAGCACTGGAATGGTGAGAGAAACAGTCTTCAAGTATGCCTGGTTCTTCTTTGAGCTTCTGGTGAGACTCTTGCACATTTGTGTCTACACTCAATAGGCCAGGAGAAGCACACGGCAGAAAGGAATTGACATTTTGTTCATTGAGTTGCCCCTGCTGAAAACCTGGGATGGTTTTTTGAAATCTAATAATGTCTTACCCCTCCCCATCCTTCTTCCACTAAATTGTGTTGCTTCTACCATGAAAATCTGTCTCTGTCCTGTGAGTTCTCATCACCTTCACCACTCCCCACCTGGCCACACACCATCATCTCTCAGGTGCCTCTCACAATGACATCCTCTTTTTCCTGCCTGTATCCATTTTTGCCCTTGGCCCACCCATTCTGCACATGGCAGCCAATACTAAACGGAGAATGTCATGCTCCTTTTAAAAACCCATCGATGGTTTTCACTGCACTGAGAAGAAAGCACAAATTTTTATCATGGCCTAAATAGCCCTTGTATGATTTTGTTGTTTACCTCCCTCTCTAACCTCATCTCATGCCACATTCCCCCGTCATTCAGCCACATGGTCCTCTTTTGGTGCTTTGAAGATTCCAAGGCTGTTTTGGCCTCACAGCCTTTTCCAGATTCTCTTCCTGCTTGCTAGCTTTCACCTCCGCACCCCCAACACACACAGTTTCTATTCTTCTCTGTAGATTTCAGCTTCAGTGGAAGCACCCCTAACAGGCCTTTTCTGACCACCTTATACTGCAATATATCTTCCTCTATTATTTTCCTTCTGAGCACCCTATTTATTTCCTTCCTAGCACTTATCACAGTTTCTAATTGTTTTCTCTGTCTCAACTATTAGATTTTTAGGATTTGGGTCTCTCTTGTGTATTATCCCATCTCTAGCCTCAGCACACTGCTTGGTACCGTGCAAGGCCCAACTAATACTTGTTGGAAAACAGAATGAAATTTGTATATCTGGTTATCCTAAGACTTCTGCCATTATTCGAGCAGAAAAGCAAAAGGTATAGCCATAATACCTTAATTTTAAAATTAGGGGAATAATAGTGATAACTATTTTTTTGTTTAATTGTTAACGGAATTAAAAGGACTTTACCATAGAGGCACTAAAAATAAACATTTCATCAGTGTTGATAAGTGGAGATGCATAGTGAGATGATGTTGAATGAAAAGGTCTAAAGACACAGACACCAACTATATAAAAATATATATGCAAACAATTTGGAGGATTTGGAGTAGGTTGAGATTTAGTGATAGTGTTAGCTTTATATTCATTGAGTTCTTTCCCCTGTCCCATTAAGTGAATCATAGATATATATATATATTTTTTAAAGAGAGTCTAGGCTGGGTGTGGTGTCTCACACCTGTAATCCTAGCACTTTGGGAGGCTGAGGCAGGCAGGTCACTTGAGGTCAGGAGTTCAAGACCAACCTGACCAACATGACGAAACCCGTCTCTACTAAAAATACAAAAATTAGCCGGGCATGGTGGCATGTGCCCGTAATCCCATCTACTCAGGAGGCTGAGGCAGGAGAATTGCTTGAACCTAGGAGGCAGAGGTTGCAGTGAACCTAGATGGCACCACTGCACTGCAGCCTAGGCGATAAAACGAGACTTCTCAAAAAAAAGAGAGAGAGTCTAAAGAGATGGGAGGGTTTCCACCTAAGCTCTGGTTTCTATATGTAAGCTGAGGCCTAAGAAAAAGGGAGAGATGCTGAACAACAGGACACAGAACGAAGGGCAAAGGAAACAAAAATGAAACATCCACTGGGGAGGAAATAGGAAGCAATGTGGAATAGCGTGCAGAAGAAATCAGGTTCGTGCCACAGAAAAATACCCAGGATTCAAATCCCATGAAGTTTTGCAAAGTCCCAACCTCTAGTTTGAGAAGGGTCCCAAAGCATGGTCCCAAATCCTTGCCACAGAACCACCTGGAGGTGCTTAGTAAAAATAAAGCAGAGATTCTTTCTCAAAGCACTAAAATTAGGAGGCTGGAGGCCAGCATTGTGCATTTACCTGTCTTCTCAGGTGACTTCTAAACCTGTTAATGATCCACTGGTCCACACCACCTCTGTTCTCTGAGTCCTAAATAGAGCTACAGGTCTTTTGGAATTTGTACCCAGACAACACCAGAATTTTTTTCATTCTAAAAGCTAAGCTAATTAAGGTGGTAGCTGCAGCTCACAAGTCTTGGGGCAAGAGCATTAGCAATGAGATATGAACTCCGTGCTCTGGCAGGAAACAGACTGGGCCATAAAACCCATTCTGCTCTTGTTTCTTGAGACTTGAGAAGTATCAGAACCAACACCCGGTGCACTTTATATCCTGCTTCTATTTACACATCCCACCCACCATCATGTCTCTCCATAAAGAAGATTCACTCAGCCTGGCTCTGCAAAAATAAACAAATTAGCAGGATACGGTAGCATATGCTTGTGGTCTCAGTTACTCAGGAGGCTGAGGCAAGAGCATCACTTGAGCCCCAGAGTTCAAGGCTGCAGTGAGCCATGATCATGCCACTGCACTCCAGCCCAGGCAGCAGATTGAGACCCTGTCTCTAAAAAAAAAAAAAAAAAGAAAAAAGAAAAAAAAGAGGGTGGGGGTGGTGGTGGGTGGGAAAGAAGAAGAAGAAGATTCACTTGGGTCATAATAATCCAGCTATGGATAATTCATACAAATAATTCATTCCCAGTGTGGCATTCAGCATTGCTAATTCTGTGTGGTTCCGTGTGGCATCTTAGAGCTCTCTTTCCAACGGAAGTTTGCATTCTCTGCAGGTGTAATGATGACCCTGTTCTTTATAGAATCCCAATAATAGTTGGCATACCAATGGGAGAAAGAATAATCACATCAAAAATGTACTGAGCATCTTATTCTATATGTGCCAGGCAGTGTTTTAAGCATTTTAAAGCATTATCTAATGTAATCATTATGCAATCTTGAGGCAGGAGGAGCTTTTATTATCCCACATTTACAGATGGGGTTGGAGGAAGGGTGGTGGCCATAAGGAGAGTCTCCAAGTCAGTCAAAGGCTTCAGCAGTACCACTTCACTGCCCCTAACTGCTTTTGGCCTTGCACATTTATTTGCTAGGGCTTGGTTGGCCCAGGAGAGAAAGCGTAAGCTAAAGCACATGGCCCATCTTACCTCTAGGAAGTCCCTTATGGTAAACAGATGAAGTTTTTTGGGAAGAAAGCCCCTGCTAATCTAAGCATATTGCAGGGGTTTGTCAACATGCAGATCACCCAAGACGCCAGTTCTACCAGCAGCCTAAACCCTAAGTCTGTCAGGTCCTGGCAGTACAGAGTTTCCATTGCCCAAAAGGGTTAACTGAAAGCATTGATCAAGAGGACTCTGCTCAGCATGTGTGGGAGGTTCGGGGGCCAATGAGGATTGGTGAGAGCCCCCAGGGAGCAGCAGCTGGCAGAAGCCTTTCTCTATGCTAGCTCTAAAATATCAAGAGTACAGCAGAGTAACTGGGGCCTAGAAAAATCTGGAGGCAGATGAGACAGTCTTATAAAAGGAGCCCCAGGCTGGGGCCTTAGAAAAATGTTGCCACTGCCAGGACCCCACTGCAGCAGGGATGAGGGCAGTGGAAGTGAGTAACTACCTGGGCCTCTCTGTTCTCCCACCTACTGATCCCCTTGTTTGTGCTCCTATTGGCCAACTCCAAACAGAAGCCAAAGGTTAAGGGGGCCTGAGTGATGTGATCCCTTCAGACCCCCTTCCCAGCATTCACAGACAGAGAGAGAAGGACAAGAAATCCATCAGGGAGCTGGGGTACAGGCAAATGGAAACTATCATCCCCCAGCCAGAACTTTGCAAGGAAATTGATCTCAGACTCAGACAAGGTGCCCAATTCTTCATGCATTGTTTATGCATTTGCCTGACCAATGCCCAGGAAGTTATTTGAAAACCAAAACAGTTTTTTGTTTTTCTTTTCAAGAAGCTTAAGAAAGACAACAGCTTCCTTGGCCTTAGCCAACAACCTGGGCAATTTAACACCCTCTAGTTGTGCCAATGCCCAAGCGCTAATGAACAACCACTTTGGCATTAGAGCTGTTAAACGCAATCCTTGGGTGAATTTCACACTTGCTAATGAACAAAATCCCTGTGCTTCTAGAAACTGCCGAGCCAGACCTTGGAGAAATAGAGATAAATGGGTGACCTAGTTTACTCACTCAGGACATGAAGTTCCACATTAAGGGGTTCTTTAGAGGTACCCCTACTCTAAATGGGCCACAAAGGACCACATAGGGGAAAATATTTTTGTGCCTCGCCCCACTCTACAAATAATGGGCCAGGCCTCCACCAGCGTTTCTACTGGATGTTCTTCTCTGGAGATCCAGAGGACACAGTAGCTGGCAAACTGCTGACAGTCTGGAAAGAGGCCATTAGTTGGAAGTGTGGTATTGTGAGAATTATTTATTTGGTTGTAGAATGGCCAAACTCAGCAGACAGGAGCCAAATACAGCAGTGAGTTCTGAAAGTCTTAGTGCTGGGGTGCTTAGCCTGCCCAGAATCAGGATTGGTGTTGCCCAAAACAAAGAGGCCTTGTCTTCTTAAGTCCTTTGTTAGAAACATAGTGAGAGAGAGGCTTTTTTCAGACAAAAATGGGGGTTCAGTTCTCACCCTTCATTCAGGTCTTCTCTCCAGGTGCATGTGGCCCTGCGGGATATGAACCTATCTCCGTGTCCCAAACCAAACAGGATGCCACTGTGAGGAGAAACCATGGTTTCTACACTGAGCTTTAGGATTTGATGTCCTTAAGGTCTTCCCTAAGCTGGCCATGGCATTATCTGAAAACATGAAACACATAAAGCCTGCGTCTCTGGTTTTTTCTTCTTATTTTACCTTCCCTTTGTTTTTTCTATCTATTTGTTTCCACGCTAACAAAAATTGCCAGTGCTGCATGCATCCTTAGAAACTGAATTCTGCTGTTAGTGCATTAACGTCCTCTCATGTAGCTCCTGGGAACGGAAGTCCCCTCTTCTTCCAGTCCAAACACAGAGGGCAAATGTGGGTGGTTCAACTTCCAGTGCCATTATTATTATTATTATTAGTAGTAGTAGTAGTAGTAGTAGTAATAGTAGTAGTAGTAGTAGTAGTAGTAATAGTAGTAGTAGTAGTAGTATTGCAGTGGCTTTCTGACTAATCTAGACACATTCATGAAAATGACCTGAGTGTAGGGATCCAACCACAAGACCTCCCAGTCTTCCCCATGTTCCTAATAGTGTAAGCAACTTCCAACAAGGATGAGACTCAACCTCAGATGGGGTCATGGGGGCCTATATTGACCTGTGAATCTCCTGGCCCCAAGATGTCCAAAAAATAAGCATGATCTTGATTTAAAATTGTGGTAGGCATTGAGACGGTATTATTCTAGTCATAATGCAGACAGTCACCAATTGACACAAGGATATCTATATATAGATACTATATGTAGATATCCATATAGATGTATCTGTATATAAATATCTTTGTGTCAGTTGATGAATTGTTTGCATTATATATGTAACTACAATATACACCAATTTGTGTCAATATACCAATTCGTGTCAATTGGTACTTGTATTGACACAAAGATATCTATATAGAGATACTAGATAGATAGATAATCTGTATATAGATATTTTTGTGTCAATTGGTGACTGTCTGCACTATGTATGTAACTACAAATTAGACTTATAGAACTCAAAATTTCCCCTAGAGGTGATGTTTCCCCTGGAGGCAATGTTGTAAATAGTGGTTCTGTTTCCAGCTGGCCAAGATTTCCTGCTCAGCGTATAATATAGCTAAAATTTACAGGAGCAGAAGATAACTGCTGGAAACTATAGAACTGTTTCCGGAAAAACTGTGCTCCCTCAAGAAACACTGAAACTCAAGATAGAAGGAACATTTCTCCCCTGTTCTCCTTACTGTAGTTTCAGGAACAGAAAAGATTTCAGTTCGCATCAAGAACCTTGTGATACACAGTTTCTTCCTATGTCATGTGTTCTGTCCTATGATAGAGGACACCTAACTGGTTACAGGAGCCCAGCTCAGGTCTGCCTTCCAGGAAGTAGGCAGTTGAGAACACTGTAGCTAAAGAATTAAGCTCCTGGCTTTGTCAGCAGCAAGAAGGGAGCCTCTGACTTGGGGTCAAAAAGAGGACACCCTTCCCACCTCCCGCCACCATGGTAACCATTGGTGTGTCTGCAGCATTTTAGTCCAGAGCTTGCTCGGGCACCACCAGCAAAGATAAAGTGTCAGAAAATCCATTGTTAGCATTTTTGTGAGTCTTTCCCCCTTTTCCGCATTGTACAAGCAGGTCACCAATCTCCATGTTGACATTTCCCCCATCCCCCTCCGTAGGTGAAAAGCATGGCCCAGCATGTACATAACATGGACAAACGGGACAGTTTTCGGAGGACTCGTTTTTCTGACCGTTTCATGGATGACATAACTACTATTGTTAATGTGGTCACCTCGGAAATTGCAGCCCTTTTAGTAAAACCACAGAAGGTAACTGTATTTTACTCTTTACTTTCTAAATTGTTTACCTGGAACATATATTACTTTTATAATCAGAGAAAAATAAGCATCATTTAAAAACAATAATTAAAATATAACTGTAATGACAGTTAAATGCAGTATGTTATACTGGACTAGACCCTGATATGGGGCTGGAAAATTGTTATAAAGAAATTGCACACATGAGGCCAGGGGTTTGAGACCTGCCTGGCCAACATGGTGACATGGTGAGACCCCGTCTCTACTAAAAATGCAAAAATTAGCTGAGCATGGTTGTGCACATCTGTAATCCCAGCAAGTGGGAGGTAGAAGCAAGAGAATTGCTTGAACCCAGGAGACAGAGGTTGCAGTGAGCCAGGATGGTGCCACAGCACTCCATCCTGGGTGACAGAGTGAGACTCTGTCTCAAACAAAAAAAAAAAAAGAAATTACAATATGGACTATGGTTTAAATTATCATATCAGGCCAGGTACAGTGACTCACACCTGTAATCCTAGCCCTTTGGGAGGCTGAGGTGGTCAGATCACTTGAGGTCAGGCATTCGAGACCAGCCTAGCCAACATGTTGAAACCCCGTCTCTACTAAAAATACAGAAAATTAGCCAGGTGTGATGGCGCGTGCCTGCAATCCCAGCTACTCGGGAGGCTGAGGCAGGAGAATTGCTTGAGCCCAGGAGGTGGAAGTTGCAGTGAGCCAAGATGGTGCCACAGCACTCCAGCCTGGGTGACAGAGTGAGACTCTGTCTAAAAAAAAGAAAAATGTAAATATGAAAGACATTATTTTTGCTCTTAGGAAATACACCTTGAAGTATTATGGGGTAAATGGGCATGATATTTGCAACCCATTCTCAAATGGTTCAGAAAAACATGTTTTTATATTCATAGAATGATGAAACAAATGTAGCAAAATGTCAAGTACTGATAAGCTTGGTTAAAGGGTATACAATAGTTCTTTGTACTATTCTTGCACCTTTTCTGTAAGTTTGAAATTGTTTCAAAATAAAAGCTGAAAAATATATAAATGAAATAAATCAAATGTTTAAAAGGGAGCTATAAAAATCTTAGGAAGCAATGTTTATTATTAATAGCTTTGTCATTATTGAGAATTTGCGTAGTATCAAGTGCTCAGGAGATTTTCATTTGTTTATTCCTCATGGCAAACTTTGTTGAAACAGCAATGGTATCTCCATATTGGCAGGTGTCAGAATAAGGCACAGTGAGGTTGATAAAATTTCCAAAAGTAACACACAGCCAGCAGTAAAGCCAAGACTGGAGATTTTAAACGCAGATATTGAGTCATGTAAACCACCCAGGAGGAGTGACCACGTGGAGAAATGTGGAGAGAGTTCAAGGACCTCTCAGTGACACTGTGGCAACCCCTTTATCAGGTCTCCATCCATCCCAGTGACTTGACTGGTCAGCATGGCCTGAATTTGAAAATTACGTAATAAAAGAGCAAAATAGTTTCAAACCATATTTTTAATAGTGTCAAAGGAAATTGATGTGTCGTTCTGAGAATAAAGGACATAAACATGAAAAACTGAATCCCAGATTGCTCTGAAGCACTGTAAAATCCCTCGTAAATATGAGCACTGAGAAATAATGCAAATTAAATTTTGTTTTTTTTTTTTTGAGACAGAGCTTCGCTCTTTTTGCCCAGGCCGGAGTGCAATGGTGCGATCTCGGCTCACCGCAACCTCCGCCTCCCGGGTTCAAGCGATTCTCCTGCCTCAGCCTCCCGAGTAGCTAGGATTACAGGCATGCGCCACCATGCCTGGCTAATTTTGTATTTTTAGTAGAGACGGGGTTTCTCCGTGTTGGTCAGGCTGATCTTGAACTCCCGACCTCAGGTGATCCACCTGCCTTGGCCTCCCAAAGTGCTGTGATTACAGGTGTGAGCCACCGCGCCCGGACAAATTAAAAAAATTTTAAATAGGCGTAGCTTATTAATTGGGATTCATGGAGGAATTCACCCTGTGGAGTATGACTCTGACCTCTCTTAGGCTGGAAATGCTGCCTAATTGGGGAATACATTTCTTAGGTGAAAACTAATTCTTTTATCCTGATTGAATTTTCTGTAATAATCCTTAAAAACTAAGAAACTATCTCACTGAAGACAGTAAGTACTCTTCAAGTCAGTTTGCCAAAAAAAAAAAAAAGAGAATAGTTACAAAAAAAAAATAGTTACCAGGATATTAAAAAAAAAAATTTGGATCCAACATATTATATAGAGAATGAGCTTAAGTATACACATATAAACATGCATGTAGAAAAAAATGACTGGAAGGAAATGCACCTAAATATTAACAGTACATGAATAATTACTTGATTCAACCTCACAGTCATGGCTTTAGTTAAAGGAGACTTAACTACTTTGCCCAGTGTCACCCAGAGGGACAGTGGCTGAAACAATAGGACCTGTCTCTCCCAACTTTCCCGCCAGTGACCTGGGAGTTCAACTCCAGAGTGTACCACAAAATGATTTGGGTGTTTGTTTGTTTTTAAGGAAAATGAACAGGCGGAAAAGATGAACATCAGCCTGGCTTTCTTCTTGTATGACCTTCTCTCCCTCATGGATCGGGGCTTTGTGTTTAACCTCATCAGACATTATTGCAACCAGGTGAGTGTCCCTCCAAGTGAGCCATTTTGTTCCTTCTCATGTAATGTGATGTTCGTTGCCATGGTATGCTGTCTTATTCATTACCCAGTTAGTGTGAGTCCTGCACATCCTGTGTTTTGCAGCACATCCCTCATGTCTGTGCCATGGACATTCCTTGGGTACTCTGGTTTACCTTGATTCCTGGAGCATTTACCAACCCAGTGTAGAAGGGTCAACAAATTCATCTCTGGGAATTAAAATTTGTGATATGACCTGAATCTTCAAGTTAACATTTAACAGAAAATTAACATGGCTATACAGTAGTTTAAATCTTTGAGGAGTCCTCAAGCTCCCAGTCTGAGGTCTCTTTTCACATATTAGGGTAATTAATTAATTTGCTGTTGTGATGTTCTGACTTGAAAGAACCCTTTAAAGTGTTCTTAAATAAAATCATTCAGAGATATTTAATTTCACTGAGCACATAGCAAATATTTCATAAACAAAGTGCATTTATCAGTACCATCCCCCCAATTTTTTAAATGGAATTATTCATATACTGCCTCCCACAAACTACCCTAACAATAGTAACATAAATAGCAGTTATTGTTGCTACTCCTCTCCTTCCATATCCTTACTCTAGCCACTAGTATACCATCATTACTGCTACTACCACCACCAGCCACCACCATTGTCATTACCTCCCATGCCCACTATCACCACCTCGTCCACCATCACCACCTCCTCCACCATTACCACCTCCTCCCCCACCACTAACACCTCCTTCACCATCACCGCAACCTCTGCCACCACCATCACCACCACCTCCACCATCAAACCTCCTCCACCATCACCACAACCTCCACCACCAACATCACCACCACCTCCACCATCACCACCTCCTCCACCATCACCAACATCTCCTTCAGCATCACCGCAACCTCCGCCACCACCATCACCACCACCTCCACCGTCACTACCTCCTCCACCATCACTGCAACCTCCACCACCAACATCACCACCACCTCCACCATCACCACCTCCTCCACCATCACCACCACCATCTTCACCATCACCACCACCTCCACCATCACCAACACTACCTCCACCATCACCACCACCACCACCACCACCATCACCATCACCATCATCACAACCTCCACCATCACCACCACCTCCACCATCACCACCTCCTCCCCCACCACCAACACCTCCTTCATCATCACCACAACCTCCACCATCACCATCACCACCACCTCCACCATCACCACCTCCTCCACCATCACCACTGCCTCCACCATCACTACCACCACCTTCACCACCACCTCCACCATCACCACCTCCTCCACTACCACCAACACTCCTTCACCATCACCACCACCACCTCCACCACCACCATCACCACCTCCTCCACCATCACCACCACCTCCACCATCACCACCTCCTCCACCATCACCACCTCCTCCACCATCACCACCTCCTCTACCATCACCACCATCTTCACCGTCACCACCTCCTCCACCATCACCACCACCTCCACCACCTCCTTCACCATCACCACTACCTCCACCATCAGCATCGCCTCAAACACCACCATCACCACCTCCTCCACCATCTCCTCCACCATCACCACTACCTCCACCATCACCATCACCTTGAACACCACCATCACCACCTCCTCCACCACCTCCTTCACCATCACCACCTCCACCATAACCACCACCTCCACTATCACCACCTCATCCACCATCACCACCACCACCACCTCCTCCACCATCACCACCTCCTCCACCATCACCACCTCCTCCACCACCACCACCATTTCACCATCACCACCTCCTCTACCATCACCACCACCTTCACCATCACCACCACCTCCACCTTTACCACCTCCTCCACCATCACCACCATCTTCACCATCACCACCCCCTCCACCACCACCACCATTTCACCATCACCACCTCCTCTACCATCACCACCACCTTCACCATCACCACTACCTCCACCATCACCACCTCCTCCACCATCACCACCATCTTCACCATTACCACCCCCTCCACCATCACCACTACCTCCACCATCACCATCACCTCAACCACCACCATCAGCATCTCCACCATCACCACCTCCTTCACCATCACCATCACCACCTCCTCCACCATCACCACCACCTCCACCATCACCACCTCCTCCATCATCACCATCACCACCATCTCCACCATCACCACCACCTCCACCACCACCATCACCACTTTCTCCACCACCAACATCTTCTCCACTATCACCACCATCGCCACTGCCCACCTCTGGCAGTATTATCACCTTTCCTATCACCTCCTCCACCATCACCACCATTAGTTCCACCATGACCACCTCCTTCACCTCCACCATCACTTCTTCCACCATCACCATTGTCACCATCATCACCACTACCTACCTCCACCACCATCACCACCTCTCCCATCACCACCAAGTTCTCTGTGGTTAGTCACTTAGTGAATTTAGGTAAGTTTTTCCAATTTTATGGGTCCTAATTTCGTCAGTTTTATTTTATTATTTTATTTTATTTTATTTTTTCTCAGTTTTAAAATAAGAAGCTTCCTCCTTAGGGGGTTTGAGGGATTTGAGGGCTGATCAAGGAAAAGGATAGGACCATAAAAAACAGTGACATACAGGCTTCATTGAGCAGCACTTGGACAGGGTTGCATAAGAGCAGAAGCTCCTCCCAGCATGAGAACAGCCATAGGCTTGCAGTGAGGAGGGCGCCATCCAGAGGAGCAGGAGAACTCCCAGGGGAGAGGAGGATTAGGGCAGAAGCTTATAGATCTCGGTGAGGCTGCTTCACAGCACAGTGGGGAGTCTCTGGGTCAGAGAGCTCCAAGAGCTGTAGCAGCTTAGGGCCCTGTATCTGCAAGGCTCTATCTTATCATTAGGAAACAGCTGTCCATTGAGGTTTTATGGGATCTGCAAAGAAGGCAGGCACTAAATGGATGAAAATCTGCTTATTTGGGCTATTTTTTAAATGACTCATCATGGTAAAATTTGAGTTTGGCATGAGCTAAGGGATCAGCACCAGTCTACAGTGAATAAACAAACAACCCAAGCGCCAATACAAAGAGACAATCTTTGACTTGTTTACATAACACCTTCCCTCCAAAAAAAGAAAAAAGACATGACTTTTCTAAAGGAAGTCCTGTCTACGGCCATATCACCCTGAACACACCCAATCTCATCTAAGGGAAGTCCTGAGAAGGAAGCAGAATAATAAAGAATCCTAAGGAAGCATCAGAAGTCCCCAAGCATCCCCATCCCATGTGCCCTGACCCTGGCCCTGCAGCAGCTCTTCTGTCCCAGGATCCACCAGAATAGAAAGGCAGAGGGACGCTTCACTCCTCCTTGCCCTCCCTCTTCGGTATTTAGGATTCCAGGTTAGTCTGTTTTCAAAACTTTAAGCTGAATATATGAAAGATACCCTAGATCACCACTGTAGACCCAGGCTCAGCTACTCACATGCAGGCAGCCTTCATTCCCAACAGGGAAATAAGGCAACCCAAGGTAGATTTCTGCCTGCCCTGCAAAACCCATGTTTTTATTTTCTCTTTCTCTTTCCTTTCTTTTCTCTTGCTCACTATCTTTCTTCTTAAATTCTTTCCTTTTCTTTTAGTTACCTGTTCTTTTTTTCTTTCTCTCCTTGACTCAAATGACAAAGATCCCTAGACCGGCAGTCAAGAAGCCTGCATGCTGATTCCTGAGACACCATTGATTACTTCTGTGATTGGGAGCATCAGCCTTTGAGGCATTCATTTCCTCATCTGCAACAAAACTAGGCTGGATTAGATTTATCCAGTGATTCTGTGGTCTGTGTCTGCTGGTAACATCCACAGATGTTACTTAGCACCATTAGTGGCACTCAGGCCTCAAAAGGTCACTGACCTCCATTCATGGTGATTTAATTCATTGATCCCAGCTCTCTAGATACAGGATGAACTGCATACCTGAAGCAAGTTGTATTCTTCCAAAGTCGCCTGACTTTATCATCTTGCATAACCTATTATGTTTTCTGCCATCTTTGTGGCAATGGATATAACCTTAGTCTTTTTTAACAGTCACTAACAATAGACAAATCCATTTCCTCAATTACTCTCTGTCACTTACAATATGCCACTAAGTAAACACCCATCCCTTGGGTAGGGGCACTGTGGGTCTTGACCTTTGTGGAGGATGTTTTTGGAATGTACCTTACTCCTCCTTTTGAAACATCACTCAAATTATTTTTGAAATATCTATTTTTTTTTCTTTTGAGATGGAGTCTTACTCTGTTGCCCAGGCCAGAATACAGTGGCATGATTTTGGCTCACTGCAAACTCCGCCTCCCAGGTTCAAGCGATTCTCCTGCCTCAGCCTCCCGAGTAGCTGGGATTACAGGCGTGTGCCCCCACGCCCGGCTAATTTTTGTATTTTTGGTAGCTGCAGTGTTTTACCATGTTGGCCAGGCTGGTCTTGAACTCCTGGCCTCAAGTGATCTGCCCTCCTCTGCCTCTCGAAATGCTGGGATTACAGGTGTGAGCTACCACACCCAGCCTGAAACGTCTGTCTTTAATGATGTCTCAAGGGACCTGTGAAAGATACCCATAGTGGGGCCTTCTTTTAAGTGCCAATGTCTTCTGAGTTCAAGTTCTGATAGCTGGCTTGACCCAACAACTGTTAATGAGTGACCTGAGTGACAAGCACATGACCAAGTTCGAATCCCTTCAGTGTGCTGGTGGCTCCACTGGTCCAAAGTCAGCCAGGAGTGCACATCGAAAGGTTGTGGGATCTGGTAACTGTGCTTACATAGAAGTTGTATGTTTGGGTTTTAAAATAATATATAATGATTTTTACTTGTTTTAAGTGGAAGTCTAACTATGAATTAATTCTATAGGCAATATGTCCCACAACACAAGGGCTTCTTGTAAAATGGCTGAAAATATGTGTTCATTTAAATTATATTGTTTAGTCTGTAATCCCAGCACTTTGGGAGGCCGAGGCGGGGGGATCACCCGAGGCCAGGAGTTCAAGACTGGCCTGGTCAATATGGTTAGAACCCCATATCTACTAAAAATTCAAAAAATGAGCTGGGCATGTTGATGCGCACCTGTAATCCCAGCTACTCAGGAGGCTGAGGCAGGAGAATTGCTTGAACCCAGGAGGTGGAGGTTGCAGTGAGCCGAGATCATGCCTCTGCACTCCAGTCCAACAGAGCAAGACTCTGTCAAAAAAAAAAAAAAGATATATACGTATATTTCTAAACTATATATACATAGTTTAGAAAACTGCTCTTGAGGTAAGTGAAGAGGAGGCATGTCCATCACAAGGATGATCCTTCATATTTCTGTGCTGGGGTCGGGGTGATAATGATGAAATATTGAAGGGCTCAAGGTGCATCAGCGCCCCTTCCTTCCCCTACTTTGCCTTTAGAGGAGCTGTCTCTGAGTCTGGGTCTTTCAGTTGTTCATCTTGCTTGGGGGAAGCAAGGTAGTTTCTTCCAGACTGTCACCTTTGTCTGCTTTTCATTGCTTGCTTCATGGTTTATTTTTTAAAGGAAGATTTTTCCTAAAAACTCTTCTAGCTTTTTCTCTTTCTTCTCCATTTCATCCTTTCTCACTCTGGGACAAGCTCCTTGAGTTTTTTTGCAGGTACTATGTACTTTCCTAAACAGTTTGATGCGTTTCTCTAGGGAACTGGTTCTACAACTTTCCAATGAGGCCTTTAATTAGAAACTACGAAAGAACACTTGTAGCATGAAAGTCATCTAGTCATATTCTATTAGTTTCATACGGGCTCATGTGAGGTCAACTCCTTTCATTTAGTTTCTCGAACACAGAAGAGGTTTTGTAAAATTAATTATGTTACACTAAAGATGTACCTCAAGATTTTCAGCACAGGCTTCCCATGGTATTAAAGATTTGACAAAGTGGAGATTGGGATAAGAATCCTCATTTTGGACAGCTATTAGGCTAGAATCACTGAGGGGAACAGTAATGAATGAAAATGTATTAGACTTCCCTGTAATGCAGAATTTACCATCTGTTGCACTATCCCATTAGTTTTTATTAAATTGATTGCCTTAATCTGGAAAGAAAGGATATTTTTGTGTCTGCCAACCCCAACTTCACTTACCTTATAATAAATGTTTCATTCCTCTTTTCGTTTTTCTTCCCAGCTGTCAACCAAGCTCAATAACCTTCCAACGCTCATTTCCATGAGGCTGGAGTTCCTGAGAATCCTCTGTAGCCATGAACATTACCTCAATCTGAACCTTTTTTTTATGAATGCTGATACTGCTCCAACATCTCCTTGTCCTTCCATATCTTCCCAGGTAATAAACGAATTATTTAACTAAAAGAATTCGTCAAGCTATTTCATTTAACTAGCTCAGCGTAATCATGTATTGCCTATAAAGATTAGTCTTATTAATTCGATGAAAAATCAAACTATTCAAACCAGATCAAGTATGCTACCCTGAAGTTGCACCACTAGCTAAGAGTTTACAATCTAAGTTATTGGTTTCTCCCCAGGCTCAAAGGTCCCTGATCAGGTTAAGTAAAGCAAAGAATCCAGTAAGCTCTATGAAATCTAGAAACTCATAGAAAAGTCTCAAATCTTCCTTTGTCTGACATTAGCCAATTATTATATTAAGCAAATAGAGGATTCCAAAGTAAATAAGTTTTGGAAACCATATGTTCTCAGCAGTAGGCCCTCTAAGAGGCTTTAACTTGTTCATGTCAATTGTAAATGCACAAGAAACAGAAGAGGAAATGGGAGGAGGTGTGCATGGTAAGCAGTGATTCCCAAAATGATTTGACATGGAATCCCCACCCCACCTCGTACATTTTTTGAAGGGCTAGTGTCCTCTGGAATAACTTTAAGAACACGCTGTTTGATAGTCACATCAGTAGCTCAGAGCATCAGGCAAAATTTCTCCTTGTTAGGTTATATTTCTCTTGCATATTCCTTGATACTAGTACGAAAGTGAAGGCTTGTCTTACTAACCGACAAAAAACTTAGCCATATATGCCATATGACATGATCCAGATCTTAGCTACATGACCGTCTTACTGTGAACAGGGAAAGATCCTACTCACAAGCAGCGATTCAAACTGTGTAAACTTTTTGCTGCTTCCTGCCCAGCAGCTTAAGTCCTAAAACTTCCCTGGACTAAGCTTGCCCTAGGTTCCTTCCTACCTTCCCCTTCTGACTGCCCCAGGGAGTGGCCAAACCCAGGACCAGGTTCACAAAACCATGAAGGATTTCTAAAGACACTTTAGATGCTCTTAATGAAATATAAAGTGTGCTCCCAGGATACAAATACAGGACAGAAATTACCGAGGACCGGTAAATCTAATACTTCCTTCCCTGACATCACTTGTAGTTCCAGGTCAGCAAAAGTCTGACAATGTGCTTAAGCCAAATTCACAAGCGTAGCTGAGGCCAGGCACAGTGGCTCACACTTATAATCCCAGCACCTTTGGAGGCCAAAGGGAGCGGATCACTTGAGGCCAGGAGTTACCAGCCTGACCAACACAGTGAAAACTCATCTCTACTAAAAATATAAAAATGCATCAGGCGTGCTGGTGTGACTGTAGTCCCAGCTACTTGGGACGCTGAGGCATGAGAATTGCTTGAACCCGGGAGATGGAGGTTGCAGTGAGCTGAGACCATGCCACTGCACTCCAGCCTGGGTGACAGAGTGAGACTCTGTCTTTCAAAAAATAAAAAAAGGTACCTAAGTAAGCAGGGCCTTAAGCAAAAGGCATTTGGTTATAGAGGAATTGCCTGCTGCCAGCCACAGGACCGGGTAAGATTCTACTTTCTCTGTCCAAATTTTATCCTAGGTTTTGTATCTTCAGCTTTTGATTTCAGGTGGGGAAGGGAGTGTCATTCATTTTTCAACAGACCTGGGGTGCTTTATTTTCATCTTTCCCACTGGGCAATCTTCTCTCCGTGGGGATGGGAAAGCGCAGTAACCACTCTGTGCCTCAGTTCCTTATCTGCCTTATCTGGCCCCAGCAGTACCTACCTCACTGGGGAGGGCTCACAAAGCCTGGCTGGGGCAAGGGCCCAGTAAACACTAGCCATCGCTCTTTTCATTCCAATTCCTGTGACTCATAAAATGGCTCCTTGCATTTTCTGTAGAACTCAAGCTCCTGCTCCAGTTTCCAGGACCAGAAGATCGCCAGCATGTTCGATCTGACTTCGGAGTACCGCCAGCAGCACTTCCTCACCGGGCTCCTCTTCACAGAACTGGCTGCTGCCCTGGATGCCGAAGTGGAAGGGTATGTTTCTGGCATTTAAAATGAAAGATGAAACCAAAAAAAAAAGATGTTCCTTAATAAAATTTGCAGTCCAGCTTCTCATACTTGGTAAAAAAAAAAACTCTACTGTCAACCAGTTCTGAGGAGTAGAAATATCTGTCTTGAGAAAGTGGTACCCATAGGCATGTAGAAAGGCACAAGGGATGGGCAAGAACTACAAAACGACTTCTCTTGGTCACCTATTTGAATGGAATTTACCAGTTCTACTAAAGCAGATTTCCCAAGGATGCTTTGATTAGTGAACTCCCTAGGAACAAAGCCATTTTTAACAAAGGGCATAGCATACAGAGGCAACCACAAGATGTCACTTGGTTCAGTGCTGATTAAGGAAATAATAGCTGCTGAGAAGGCAGCTGCCCTGTGCCCAGATTAGGTTTCTTGCAAACAGTGCTTCTCAGGACAAGAGACGCCAGACATCCAGGGCTTCTGAATCCTTTTACCTCTTATCTATCTGATTACTCAGGGACATGTGGCAATATCTAGCCTAGAAGTCAACAGAGAGAGAGGTGGACCACCCCCTTCTTTCCTTCTCTCCCCGTGCTCCATGAGCTCATAGAATCAGAAACCCACAGACTACCTGATTAGACTGAAAAAGGTAAGGCCTTCTAAAATATTATTCATTCCATTCAACAATTATTGAATGCCTTCCATGGGACAGACACAGTTAGGTGTTAGATTCCATCAGAGATATATCAGTGCACAAAACAGACAAAATTCCCTGTCCCTCTAGAGCTCACCATCCAGGGACTCAGATTCAAAGATAATTAGGATTGGAAAGTGATTGAGGTTCAACACTTCTGGTATTTAGATTAGGCATACGGAATTGTAGGAACTTGCCCACTATTCCATAACAGAGAACCAAATCTAAAGCCATGGTCTTCCCAGTCCCTTCCCAGGACCCACTCTCCTATACCAAACCATCTCCCTGCCCAGAGAACCTGTTTCCATGTCTCCTATGCTAAAGAAATTTCCAGAATAATGTTTGCTAATTAATGGTAGCATTGCTGTATGTTATGGATGGATTTTTGTCTAAATGGAATTTCTCAAGTTCTCTCAAAGTGCTTACAATTTAGTGAAGGAAACAGAAGGTTCCTGCATGAAACAAATACAGGAGCACATCGAGTTTGTGCAACTGCGACAGTCACATGCATCCCAAGCAATGTACTCATGCTAACACTTCTTAAGTGACTGTATGTCTGTCTCCTGGCAGGATAGTGTGGGGGAATCTCATGCTCTTAGTTCTCAATTCTGCCTCCTTCCAGATAACCTGGTCCTGAGTATATCCTTTGAGAACTTCACTTTCCATGGCTTCAATTTTATCTTCTCAACTCCAACTAAATTTCCCCCAATTATCTCAGTAGAATGTTCTACCTTACAGCTAACATAAATTTCCACAGCAACAAAAAGTGCACCGAACACATATGCTAATAAGTAAGATACTAAGAAGAAAGTTTGAACACAAAGAAAATTGCCTTCACACACAAACATGTACATACATTTTCTTAGTTGTCCTTTAATAACAGTAGTTTAAGTGATTTCTAGAAACAATCTTTAGTATTTACTATAGCGTAGTTTCTATTTTCTATTTTCATTCTAGCTGGAAACAGCCCTGATGTCTGTTCTGGATTCCTTGTAAAATTGTTGCTGTTATATTACTAGCAACAGGGTAGAGTATTTTCAGAGATAATCCTGTAATTATGTTTAATCAGGTGGATATATTCTTCAAACACACACACACACTCTCTCTCTCACACACACTCTTAGTACCTTTTCTCCCCCAGGTGAGTTACAGTGTAATTCCTTTGGCAACACAATAATCCCTGATTGCTGGGATGTCAGTTACTCTCCTGGAAAGTCATTAGACATACTGTCACAATTTCATCATGTGAGCTAAAACCTCAGAACAATGTCATGCTTCAACAATACTTTCTATTGATCAGCCCCTTTTTTTTTCTTTTTTGTTTCCAAGACAGTTAGCAGACTTGCCAACACGTGTACATCCATGGGGCAAGGGCCAGAGGGACACACCTCAGTACCTGAACTCCTAAGGAGCCACAGCTCCAGTTTCCACTGGGTTTCCCTTAGATCTCTGACACCTGGGTGTATCCACAAATGTCCATGCATCGTGAAATCCACAGTATTTTTCAAGCATTTAGAAATTGTCTATCGTCTTTGTAATAAGCTAGCAAATTGCAATGCCTAATTCAAAACACAACCCATTGTCGGGACCACAGACTTAGAACGAGAGCAGCTTTAGAAATGCAATTTACAATTATCTTACTTTAGCCACAGTGCAAGAATCTGAGTCATTTAAAATTTTGGTTAATATTTTCTATATAACGTTGAATTCTGATGTAGCCTTGTTTTGTTTGAAAGAAAAAAAAATGTAGATTTTTAAAGTTGAATATCTATGACTAGGTTCCAGATACTCCACTATATATTTTATTTACTTTTTATTATCGTATAATTTATATAAAGGACCCAAATCTTAAGTATAAAGTGCAATTACTATATCCTGTGAATATGTTTGAATAACCACTAGTCAGATCAAAAATATAATATTCCGTTATCCTCTCAGTTACAGGCCCCCCTCAAGTAACCACTATTCTGACTCCTATCACCAGAAATTAATATTGCCTGTTACTGAATTTCATAGTCTTTTGCTGAATGTTGTGATTGTGAGATCCTTCAGGGTGGTCACATGTGTTAGGATTCATTTTTTTTCAACTGTATGTCATATTCCTTTGTCTACTATAATTTATCTACTGTAAATTGACATTTGGGCTGCATTCCATTTGTGGCTGTTATGAAAACAGCTGCTGTGAACACAACTGTGCATGGTTTTGGGTGGACATTAGAACTCATTTCTTTGGGGGTATAAATACAGCCTATTTTTTAATTTTAATATACTGTTCTTGAATAGTCTAATAAATATGTGTACATAGTCTTAACAAAATGTCAAAAGAATATACTCTGAGCTAGGAAAAGAAGAGCAAACAATTCAAAGCAGGCAGATGGCAGGGAATAACAAAGGTGACAGCCAAAATAAATGAAATGAAGAATAGAAAAACAATCATGGAAATCCGCAAGGTGAAAAGCTTAGTATTTCAAAAGAACAACAAAATTCACCAATCTTTAGCTGAACTGACCAAGAAAAAAGGAAGAAGACTCAATTACTAAAATCATAATTGAAAGGGGGGATATCGGCCGGGTGCGGTGGCTCAAGCCTGTAATCCCAGCACTTTGGGAGGCCGAGACGGGCGGATCATGAGGTCAGGGGATCGAGATCATCCTGGCTAACACGGTGAAACCCCATCTCTACTAAAAAAAAAAAAAAAAAAAAAAGAAAGGGGGGATATCACAACAGACCTTACAGAAATAAAAAGCATTATAAAAGAATACTGTGAACAATTGAGAGCCATCAAATTGATAACCTAGATTAAATGAACAAATTCCTTAAAAGGTGCAAAGTACTAAAATTGACTCCAAGAAGAGATAGAAAATCCAAATGGACCTACAGCAAGTAAAGAGATTGAGTTAGTAATCAAACTTCCCACATACACCTCCTATGTACCCACACAGATTAAAAATTTAGGCTGGGCGCGGTGGCTCACACCTGTAATCTCAGCCCTTTGGGAGCCCAAGGCGAGTGGATCACCTGAGGTCAAGAGTTCAAGACCAGCCTGGCCAACATGATGAAACCCTGTCTCTACTAAAAATACAAAAATTAGCTGGGTGTGGTGGCGGACACCCATAATCTCAGCTACTCGGGAAGCTGAGGCAGGAGAATCATTTGAGACTGGAAGGCAGAGATTGCAGTGAGCCGAGATCATGCCAGTGCACTCCAGCCTGGGCAACAAGGGCAAAACTATCACAAATAATAATAATAATGATAATTAAAATTTTATAAATTAAATACTTCCCACAATAAAAGCCCAAACCTGGGGGGCTTTACTGATGAATTCTATCAAATATTTTTAAAAGAATTAATTCTAATTTTTTACCAACTTCTAGTCTTCTATTCCAAGGCCTAGAAGAGGTGGGATACTTCCCAACTTGTTCTATGAAGCTAGCATTACCCTATACTAAACCAGACAAAGACATCGTGAGAAAACTACAGACCAGTATCTGATGAATATAGGTGTAAGACCCTCACCAAAAACTAGCAAACTGAATCCAACAACATATAAAAAGGATTATACACCATGGCGAAGTAGGATTTATCTTAGGAATGCAAGATAGGCTTCATATCTGAAAATCGATTGATGTACCATATTAATAAAATAAAGGACAAGTCCCATACAATCATCTCAGTAGATGCAAAGAAAAGCATTTAATAAAATCTAATAACCCTTCCTGATTAAAAAAAAAACAAAAAAACAAAAACAAAAAAAACACTCAACATTCCTTTTAGGAAATAAGAGAACTTCCTCAACTTGACTTAAGGGCCTCTATGAAAAATCCACAGCTAATGTGACACTTATTAGTGAAAAACTGAGGGTTTTCTCCCTAAGATTAGGAACAAGACAAAAATGTCTACCCATGCCACTTCTATTCAACATATACTAGGAGTTCTATCTAGGGCAAGTAGGCAAAAAATAAAACAAAAGACATCTACGCCAGGTGTGGTGGCTCATGCCTGTAATCCCAGCACTTTGGGAGGCCAAAGTGGACAGATCACTTTGAGCCCAGGAGATTGAGCACAGTCTGAGCAACATGGCGAAACCCCACCTCTACAAAAAATATAAAAACTATCTGGGCATTGGTGGCTTGTGCTTGTAGTCCCAGCTACTTGGGAGGCTGAGGCTGGAGAATTTCTTGATCCCAGAAAGCGGAGGTTGTAGTGAGCCAAGATTGGACCACTGCACTCCAGCCTGGGCCACAGAGTAAGACTGCCTCAAAAAAAACAAAAAAAAAAGAGAAGAAAAGATAACATTTAAATTGGAAAGGAAGTAAAACTATCTCTATTCATAGAAGGCATAATCTTGTTTATAGAAAACCTCAAGGAATCCACAAAAACCTCTATTAGAACTAATAAATGAGTTCAGCAGGGTTGCATGGTACAAGAATCAATTGTGTTTCTACACACTTACGATGAGCAATCTGAAAATGAAATTAAGAAAACAATTTCATATAAAATAGCATCACAAAGAAAAAATATTTAGGAATAAGTGCAACAAAAGAAATACAAGAGTTATACGCTAAAAATGACAAAACACTGTTGAAAGAAATAAAGATGTAAATAAATGGAGGGATATCATATGTTCATGAATCAGATGACTTAATATTATTAAAATAGCAATACTCCCCAGATTGATCCATAGATTAAATGCAGTTCTTCTCAGAATTCTAGCTTGGTTTTTTTGTTTGTTTTTTTTGGGGGTTTTTTTTTGGCAGAAATTAGCAAACTGATCCTAAAATTCATGTGGAAATTCAAGGGACCCAGTATAACCAAAGCAACCTTGAAAAACAAGAACAAAACTGGAGGACTCACACTTCTCAATTTCAAAACTTAGTATACAGCAAAATAGTCAAGACTATGGGGACATATGATAGACATATAGATCAATGAAATTGAGTTAAGAGTCCAAAAATAAATCTTCGTATTTATAGTCAATTGATTTTTGACAAGAGTGCCAAAACAACTCAATGAGGGTGAAATAGAGTTTTCAGTAAATGGTGTTGGGACAACTGGGTATCCACATTCAAAAGAATGAAGTTGGACCCTATATTACACCATATACAAAAATTAATTCAAATAGATCAAAGACCTAAATGTGAGAGCTAAAGCTATAAAATTGTTACATAAAATTATAGAGGTAATCATCATAGACTTAGAAAAGGCAATGATTTTTTAGATATGACACACTCAAAAGTATGAGTAACAAGAAAAAAAAAGATAACTGGACTTCAGTAAAATTAAAACTTTTGTGATTTATAGGACACCATCAAAAAAATGAAAAGACAACCCACAAAATGGGAGAAAATATTTGCAAATCAAAAACCTAATAGGGGACTTGTATCTGGAATATATATTTTAAAATCTTACAACTCAGTAGTAAAAAGACAAATAACTCAGTTTTTTTAAAAGGCAAAAGATCAGAATGGACATTTCTCCAAAGAAGATATGGCCATAAGACCAGGAAAAGGTGTTCACATCATTAGCCATCAGGGAAATGCATATTAAAATCACAATTAAATACCGCTTGATAGCCACAAAGATGAGTATAATAAAAAAGACAGGTAATAAAGTGTTGGCAAGAATAAAATGGAGTCTTCAGACACTGCTGTTGGGAATGTAAAATTGTGCAGCCACCATTGCAAACAACTTGCTGATTCCTCTAAAAGTTAAACAGAGGCTGGGCATGGTGGCTCACGCCTATAACCTCAGCACTTTGGGAGGCTGAGGCGGGCAGATCATTTGAGGCAAGGAGTTCAAGACCAGCCTGGCCAACATGGTGAAACCCTGTCTCTACTAAAAATACAAAAATTAGCTGTATGTGGTGGCTGGTGCCTGTAGTCCCAGCTACTCGGGAGGCTGAGTCAGAAGAATTGCTTGAACCCAGGAGGTGGAAGTTGTAGTGAGCCAAGGTCATGCCATTGCACTCCAGCCTGAGCAACTCTGTCTCAAAAAAAAAAAAAAAAAGTTAGACAGAGAGTTACCATACAAGCCAGCAAATGTACTCTGGGGTATGTACCCAAGAAAAGTAAAACTTAAAACTTGTACACAAATATTCATAACTCATAATAGCTCAAAAGCAGAAACAATCCAAATGTTTATCAATTGATGAATGGATAAATAAAATTCACTAATGGAATATTATTTAGCAATAAAAAGGAATGAAATAGTGATGCTACAATATGACGAACTTGAAAACATCCTACTAAAGAGCAGACCCAGGGTTAGAACACAGGCAGTCTATTTCTGGATTCTATATAATTCTATCCTGTATTGCTTGGTTTTCATAGTCACCTCATTGCTTAGGAGCATTTTGATCACTCTTGACTGTTTAAGAGCTCTTTAGTCAATTTCCCTTCACCATAACCTTTTGATTCCTGTGTTGTGCCAACAGAATCAGCAAAGTACAAAGGAAAGCTGTCAGTGCCATCCACAGCCTGCTAAGTTCTCATGACCTGGACCCACGCTGTGTCAAACCAGAGGTGAAGGTCAAAATCGCTGCCCTTTACCTGCCTTTAGTTGGCATCATTTTGGATGCTTTGCCACAGCTCTGTGACTTTACAGGTAATTGCCCTTCTGTTTTCTTTCTTGGATTGATGGGGACCCGTGCCAAATGCCCCATCCGAATGAGGTCTCTCATTTGTTACAGTGCTGATATGTTCATATGAGCAATTCTTCACAACAATGGTCTCCAAACCCCTTTAACACAGGCCCCAATCAGTTTAAAAAAAAAAAAAAAGGCACATAGCCCCAAATGTGTTTTTTGTTTAGAAATTGTTTACTTATTTTTTTGTGAATTCGTTTATTCATTCATTGATCTGCTGGTATGGGATGAACTTTACAAACCATACACCACAAAGGATGAAATAATAACAGAATTACTCCCTTTGGAGATCATGCTCTAACAACTTGAAATAAAGGTGTTCCTTCCCTTTTCTTTTATGAATATGTAAGCAAAAAAGCAGTCTCAAATGAACCCAAATAATTGTTCCATGCAAAAAAAAATCATGGCATATGTCAATATTAGAAAATTCTGAAAGCAGAGAAATATTGCCCTTGGCACTAAGTGGCTAATGTTGAGGTTAATATCTCTAGATTAGCAACAAGAGGAAAGGCTAAGTTGTCTTAAAGGGGTTTTGTGAAACCCCTGAATCTATTTACAAATTACAGTGTGGATTAAGGAATGCAGAGGAAAAAAATCCTCCCAAATAGAAGAACTTCTTATGTTGACTTGAGAAAGGCAGTCCATCGGCCTACCCTCTCCACAACGTACATGTGTGCGCACACACACACACGCGCGCACACACACACTCACAATTCCTATCCCGTCGGAGTAGTTCTTGCTTTTCCTCCAGCTCAAGAGAAGTTTTGGAAATGTCCATGCTGCTCTCTTGGCAGCTGAAGGGTGCTGGGATCTGGGGAATGCTTCCCTGAGCCCAACCTCCTTACAGGTAGTCATCCTTGAAATCTTGGAACCATCCGGGTTTTCCCACCTCCATATGGAAAGTGTCATATGTGACTAAATTATTTATAGTATTATTATGGTGACAAGTATTTAGTTCATGAAAATGGGACCAAACACCTATAGTCTTTAATTCAAACAAATCGTAAAATGAAAATCAAGTATTCCTGTGGAAGTAATTCTCTCCTTTCTTGAAAAAAAAATCCTCCAGCAAACTGCTAACGGGGTAACTCGGAAGAGAAAGGTTGAGACAGGGGTTAGGGTTTGTGGAGTTCTATTGGGGCAAGAGTGCAAGGAAACGACAGAAACAAACTCAGCACACAGGGCTGGGCAAGCTGCACCATGAGGTCAGCAGCTTCCTCTAGTAGCTCCTGATTGCGGGGAACTGACAGAGTTGTTTTTAGCATTTACAGACATAATGCAGAGCATGGCATGTGACTTGCAGCCCATTTTGAGAATCCATGCTGGAAAGTTTCTAAAAAGTTCCATTTCAAGAACCTGCTTGTTCCCAAAGCCAGGAACCACTTTAGCACACATTCTCCACAGTTTTCTTGTCAATTAGAATGCTCCATATCAGTGACTCGGAATCAGAACTTTTCAACATTTGTTCTCCGAGCCTTTTAAACCTCAAAGACTTCTTTGTATATGCATTGAACTTTATGGTCATGATGGAGCTGATGAAAGAAAACAGTGAAAAGTATTTTATTGTTATAGGTTACATAGTACATCTATTAAATATAGAATCTTCAGGTTGATAAACTCATAAGAATATAGTCTTTCAAAAAGATGCATCTGAATTCAGATTCCAGCCCCATTTGTTAATATAAGTGACCGTTGAAAGGCTCAACTTATCCATGCCTTCCTTTCCTCTGTAAACTGTAAAAATGTGATAACAAGGCCTATCTTTTAGGGTTACGATAAAGATGAAACTGAAGAACTTCTGTAAAAGCATTTTGCACAGCACATGTTTGTATCTTTCCTGCTTTTTCTTGTAACTATAACCCTATGGCGATTAAGGGGAAATAAGAATGTATCTCTATGTTAGTTGTGATAATGTTATCAGGTCTTGCATAATTTCCATGTACTGTTTATTTAACCATTTGTTTAAAATCCCAGTGGCCTTAATAATTATTTCTAAAAATTGGGTTTTGGCTAGATGTGGTAGCTCACCCCTGTAATCCCAGCACTTTGGGAGGCCAAGGTGGACCAATCACTTGAGGCCAAGGGTTCAAGACCAGCGTGACCAACATGGCGAAACCCTGTGTCCACTAAAAATACAAAAATTAGCCAGGCGTGATGACACACCTGTAATCCCAGCTACTCGGGAGGCTGAGGTAGGAGGATGGAGACAGAGATTGCAGTGAGCGGAGATGGCGCCACCACACTCCAGCCTGGATGATAGTGTGAGACTTTGTCTAAAAATAAATAAACAAATAAATAAGAAGAACTGGGTTTTGTTTTCATAACTTTAGTGGAAGAAATGTTATTTACACTTAAATTTTTCTAAATAGTTGAAGGCCCAGATCACTGTAATGTCGACAGGTCTAGAAAAACACGAGTTTTTAGTAAAACATCAGTGATTCAATCAGTTGTGAATATTTTACCACACTTTCCCCAGAACTGCTTGAAATATTAATAGTTTTTATTGTATGCTTGGTAGCATTCTTAAAAACCAGACTTTTAAATGGTTTATCCTTTTTTTTTTTTTTTTGCTTACATACATCGAGACCTATCTATAAATATGGATATGTCTATATTACATAGATACAATAAATTGATGTTCATTTTAAACATTTGAAATATAACAAATTGTTGCTGAACCTGTGATAATAGGTTATTATTCTATATAAGGTACTTGCTTAATTCTGCAATTATAGGTTTCTTCTATTTGGTCATTATTTAAAATAATGTCAATTATTAGAATAGATAATAAAGTTTAAAAAATTATGTTACAGAAACTATTATGGATGTTTTGAAAACTTTTTGTTCATACAATTTGAAAAATTAATTTCTAGCCTAATCTTGTGCTAGACATTGTCTCTTTTCTTAGCCTGCTGTATTTTCCTATAGATGATAGCAAATACATAACGCTAAACGTCAGGTTTAAAATTACTGTGCTGACTTTAGTGACTAAGAAGTATCAGTCTCTTATTGGGTAGGGGACATAGGGAAATGTCATGTCTGACTTGACATCACAAATGATGTTTTCATTGCAGGTGTAGATACTCGCAGATACCGCACCAGTGGCTCGGATGAAGAACAAGAAGGAGCTGGTGCCATTAACCAGAATGTGGCTCTGGCCATAGCAGGGAATAATTTCAATTTGAAAACAAGTGGAATAGTGCTGTCTTCCTTGGTATGTTGGTGCACATGTGTCTGGTTGATTTTTCATGTCATGTCTTCTGTCATCTGTTTTGTTTTGTTTTGTTTTTTGAGACAGAGTCTCACTCTGTAGCACAGGCTGGAGTGCAGTGGTGCAATCTCAGTTCACTGCAACCTCTGCCTCCCCCGTTCTTCATGTCTCAGCCTCCTGATTAGCTGGGATTACAGGCATGTACCACCACACCTGGCTAATTTTTTTGTATTTTTTAGTAGAGACGGGGTTTTGCCATGTTGACCAGGCTGGTCTCAAACTGCCAACCTCAGATGATACACTCACCTCAGCCTCCCAAACTGCTGGGATTACAGGCATGAGCCACTGTGCCCAGCCTCTCCTGTCATCTGCTGATGGGAGAACTCAGCTTAGAGCAGGCATTGATGCTTTCTGCCTAATTTTGCTGTAAAGAATCATTGTGAGGTTGGCAGCGGAGGTGCACACAAGTCAGAAAGGATTTTGGCAACAGCAAGAGATGTGCAGATCAAATTCAGGCAGTCCCAGTGGTGCTGAGTTCAAGTTCAAGAAACCAGAAAAGATGAAAACTTGGGAAATCTGAAATCATTGCAAAGGAGATCAAACCAAGGCTCCCTGAGGGTGGAGACTTAGGCTGTGTTGAGTCTAGGTGTGTGTAATTCATACTGTGTTATGCCTCCAAAAGAAGACTGAAGGAGGCTGGTAGCTTAGCGTAAGGGCTTCTTAAGCCAAAGATTGCAGCTTTTCTAGGACCGCAGGGAGCCTGTGGCGGGTTGTTTGGCTCTGTCCTTTTGCATGGACTCTGTGGGCTTAAAGAGGGGCTCCTCTGGGAATGTATCCTCTGATTCATTTGAGGTGGGATTCATCTCTGTTCATTGACGAGCTCTGACTATCCCTTGTGAAGAAAGCGCTGCATTCTCCAATGTCATTTACTTTTGCATTTCAATGTAGGGTATAGATGTGCAGAGAATTTAACTTGCTTCTCCTGTGAGAAAGCAGCATCCTGATCTAACTCTTCTTACTGGATGACTTTCTTCTCTTCCTTCCAGCACTTAGCAAGCCCCATCCCCATGTGGACTGAGGGGGCAGTGAGGCAGGAAGACGACACAGAGAAAAGACGTTTGAGATTTGACATCACTGATGTCAAATCACAGTGGAGAAATACTGTGTTTTATGACCTCCACCTTTCTAATATCCATCTTATCAAAGTTAGCTGCTTGAGGTGGTATATGCCTTTTACATTATTGGCCTCTAAGGGAAAAACTCAAAAGCCCAAAGTTCACCTGTTAGAACATAGTCCTTGTGAGGTTATATCTCAAAATTTCCTTTATTCTTGTCAACAAACTCAGAATAACTAAGTTAAAGTTGCTTTATAACCTCTATTATTTCCATCCAAAACTAACATTTCCCTCCCATACCCACAAATTCCTCATTGCAATTTCACCAGTACATTCCACTGGATATTAGCTACGCTGCATGAACCAAGGGTGCAACCTCATTACTGTTGTTTGTGTTGATGAGATGAGTAACAGAGAGTGTGCTCAGCACTTTAAAATGAATACTTGTGGCCAAAATATTAAAGCAAATAGCCTGAACCCCCACACCCCAGCCCCAGGCAAACATAAATTATGGTTAAACCTCCATTACAGAGAAACTCCACAAACATGGATTTGATTAATTTGCTGAGCAGTTCATGACCCTTAATGTTGTACTTTGCACTATGTAACAAACAAGCTAAATCTTCAACAGCAAGGTTATTCATGGCACCCAGCCAGTTTCCTTCTCCCCTATAAGTCTAATCCTCTGCTGTCCAGCATGAAGGAGAAATACTTGGAGATCTTAGCAGCATGAAAGCCTCTTTGTATCACTGGGATTGCAGCCTGCATGATCAAGGCCCAGGGCAGATCACCAGACCACACTGCTCCTAAGACAGAGGTACTCAGATGCCTGCTGAAAGCCTAGCTCAAATATTGCCCCAGGTGAGCCCCTTTGCGGAGTAGCCCTACACAAAGAACACCGCTTCCCCTGCCTAGGGAAGGCAGGGGTCCTGGAAACAGATCTCCAGCCTAGCAATGAAGTACAGTCATGGTATTCTAAGAGAACACCTTGAATTTTTCTGTTGTTTAACTGTTAAGCCTCAAATTTTTCTGTTGCTTGACTTCTTCCCTGGCCACCAACCCCCAATCTGCCTCCCTCCAGCCCTATAAGCAGTACAACATGCTGAACGCGGACACTACTCGCAACCTCATGATCTGCTTCCTCTGGATCATGAAAAATGCTGATCAGAGCCTCATTAGGAAGTGGATTGCTGACCTGCCATCAATGCAGCTCAACAGGATTTTAGACCTACTTTTCATCTGTGTCTTATGTTTTGAGTATAAGGTAAGTCTAGAGTGGCACAACTTTACACCAGCTCTTATCTCCCAAGTGCAATTCTGTCTTGTTACTCATCCCCTTTGTTTGGGCCATGGAGGCATCATTAATTTTTCTCATTGCTATATTCAAATCCATAACCCATTTGTAGGTACAGATATGATCATTTCACAGGGAAAGGATCTCTGCCTTGTGCAGAGAGAACCCCATTTCTGTTAACAGAGTTTTGGCCATAGGATTCCCCAGAACAGCATCTCAGTGTAGCACATGTCAAACCTGGCTGGCATCACTGTGGAGTGTACTGTTTTGGCAATTCTCCACATCAACGGAGATCTCACCAAAGGACATGTCCTCCTACCTCTGTCTTGTCCAGGGAAAACAGAATTCTGACAAAGTCAGTACCCAAGTCCTGCAGAAGTCAAGGGATGTCAAGGCCCGGCTAGAAGAGGCTTTGCTCCGTGGAGAAGGGGCCAGAGGGGAGATGATGCGCCGCCGGGCTCCAGGTGTGTTGAACTGGCCCTTCCCTGCTCTCTGTCAAGCAGTCTTTTCACTGTTTGTGGGGAGGAATGTCCTCCCAACATGATTAGAAACCATGACTTTCTTGAGATATTTACAGTAGTGTCAGAGACAGCAGATTCTGGGAGTCTGTGCGTGACATTTGTGTTAGCCCTGTGACTTTGAGGGAAAGTGCTGTTCTACAATCATAGGAACCCTGGAAACAGCACCAAATGACATCTTTTAATTAAAACTTGTTGATGGTAAAAGGTCACCTCTAAGAATGTTAGTCATGGGGGAGGTGGAAGGTGTTTCCCTCAAGGCTGAGGCCTTTCTATGTGACATTTGGCTAGTCTATTCAGAGCATGGTCAAGAAACTCAACAGTTCTGGGCCCAAGATCATCTCCTGCAATCATTCAGGGCACTATTAGAATGGAACCAATTCCCTGAAATGGCTTCAGTGTCCCAGTCATTCAAGGGTTCCACCACAGAAGGAATGATCTCAAAAAGGCTGAACTTGAATAAAATGAAATCCCCAAGTACCCTCAGTCTTATTCACCATGCTCAAAGTAAAAGAGTGACAGCTTATTGTATTCAAAGGGACACAGTGGCAGGGAACTTGGAGGGAGCTCATAGTTTTCAGTGGTGGTCAGGCACCCTCATTTGACACCCATACTTTTGTACCCAATAATTCAGTAAGCCTCCAGAGTTTCACAGGAATCCTCTGCTCCTGAGAAATGCCTCTCTGACACTCCAGAAAGGCAGAGGTTCTTCTTATATTCTAGTCTATCAATCAAAGAGCAGGCTAACTTGGACATAAGCATGGTGACTTTGTCTCCTACCAGCAACCTGCATGGACTCTAATTAGCCTGAGAAATGGTGCTGAGGCCTCTCAGTGGAGCTTGTTATGAACTTCTGGTTATCTTGAAGGGTTTCATGCTAATCAAATTCCTATCATGCATTTCTTAACTCCTAGGGAACGACCGATTTCCAGGCCTAAATGAAAATTTGAGATGGAAGAAAGAGCAGACACATTGGCGGCAAGCTAATGAGAAGCTAGATAAGTGAGTCACTCAGCAACTTTGTGCTACTTTTACCTAAAGTCCAAAACTATTTTTCCCAGGCTACTTTTATTACTGAAACAACTGCATCCTTCCAAGGGTAGGAAAATGAAACATCATTATCTGTGTAAATACAATTCATCCAGGGACCCAGGATAATCAAAGGTATAGGGAGTTGTGGTTTTCAGCTCTTAAAAATTTGTCACATTGATAAGCATTTAAAGAAAACTCATATTTCTTCAGCAACCTCAGATAGCTTAATAAAAGCAACTGATTTTGCGGGGAGGGTAGCAGGGAAATAGAGAAAGCAGGACAGAGTGCCTAGGACCACATAATTTCAAATCGATATTTCCATTCTGGAAATGTGTACAAGATACACATTCAAAGATATTTATGTCAGTGCTACTTAACGTTGTTTTTTAAAATGGAAAACATTCTAAATGCTCCAGAATAGGAAAATATGTTTAAAAGTTGGGTTGCCATCAAAATGTTTTAAAATCATTTTAATGACATGAGGAAATGCCTATGACATAATGTTAAATGAACAAAGGCAGGGCAGACACTAGGTTTTCGAGTAGCATAATGGCTCACACCTGTAATCCCAGCACTTTGGGAAGCTGAGGTGTGTGGATCACCTGAGGTCAATAGTTCGAGACCAGCCTGGCCAACATGGTGAAACCCCGTCTCTACAGAAAATCCAAAAATTAGCTGGGCATAATGGCAGATGCCTGTAATCCCAGCTACTCAGGAGGCTGAGGAGGAAGAATCGCTTGAATCCGGGAGGCAGAGGTTGCAGTGAGCCAAGATCATGCCATTGCACTCCAGCCTGGGTGACAGAGCAAGACTCCATCTCAAAAAAAAAAAAACCTCAAATCTCTGATGACATATAGTCAATGTATTTTTTAAAGGCTGGAAGCAAATTTACCAAAATATTAATTGTGGTTTTCTTTGGGTGCTGGGAATATGGGTAATTGATATTTTCTCTTTTATACTCTGCTATGTTTCCTACAGTAGATGTGTATTATATGTTGTTATCAGAAAAAAATTATAAAGAAATGAAAGAATAAAAAAACCTGTTTGAATCGAAATGTATGCTATAGCTGAATAGATATATTGATGTGCATTGCTATATATGCAACAATTTAGACATACGAATGCTAAAAGTATGTATGTTTGACTAGATAGCACATGTTTCCAATACCGTTTAGCCACAGGTAGCCTAATGAGTCCCAGGGTTCACTGAGCAAAACGTTGCAGAGCTAAAATCACCCCTCACACACAGTTGACAAGGTAGGATACCCCGTGGGTGATGAAGCACCCATCAAAGCGGGTATGGAGAAGACTTGATTAGCAGTGCTGTTTT